TAGATATACAGCTACTTTCTCTTAATTCAATGAGAAGAAAGATTTGTACTAATAGTGTTTGGACAAGATATCCTGTCTGCATCATGTACTACAGATAACCACTAAAAAGATAACAATGTGCAATGTATTAATTATTGAAACTCTCCTATTAATCAGTTTTGAAATTGTCTTATTGCTATTTGTTTCTAAATAAAATAAAATTTTAAAAAAAAAGAGTGCATGAGGCCTTTAGATTCTGGATCCAGACCTTGGCAACTCCTGAAGATATGGCCTAGAAAATAAATAAGAAACCCAGACTAGAAATCAGAATGCCCTTGTATAGTCTGTTGAATGAACCAGCCCAGGCTATGGAACAGAATATTCTAGTAATCTCCAAAACCCAAAATTATATTTGAACTACAATCTCATTCTTCAGAATAAAATAAATTAGTATTTCTGCCTATATTGACCACCAGTCATTGTACTAATTCCCCAAAGGAATTCCTCCTGAGGCTCCTTGGTGCAGGAGGTATAATTATTCATGTTATAGATTCGGCAGCTGAGGCCCTGTGAGGTGTATGTCCACCACAAATGGCTTAGACAGGACTCAAACACAAATTCTTCTTATACCAAAGCACAAACTCTCACCCTTGGGTTTATGACTTTTGTATTTATCTCTATGAGAATTATTATTCAACTTTTTTTGTGTGTCTAGTACCAGCTCTATAGATTCTCTCTACACATATTGGACTCATAGTGATCCTCCTGTTTTCAGCCTCCCAAAAGCTGGGATTATAGGCGTGCACCACAACAACCAATCTCAATTGCTGTCTCAGCGAGCCCTGGGGGACGGGGCCAGCACAGCACGCTGGGGATCGAACCCCTGCCTCTGCGTCTGCCTGAGCAGGTGCTTTAATGCACTGATCTATCTGGCCAGCCCTATTATCTAACTTTAAGAAAAAGAGAAAGGGGACAAATGAGAGCTAGAGAGGTTGAGCAGCTTCACCACCCTGCACAACCTCCTACAGCTGATGCAGGGTCCAGGAACCCACTGTCAGAGTCTAACATCCACACAATTTTCACTTTGCAGCCACAGGTCCACATTCTACCAGGACACTGTGGGCCCCAAGGCTGATTCCTACATTTTATTACCTTGTAACAAGTCAGGCTAGGCTGTGTGGAGCTGTGATGTTCAAGACACTCATCAGTGTCCTCAGAGCTGGGGCAGTTAGGCAGGGGACGTGTGAGGGAAGAAGGGTCTCTCTTCAGAGACAAGGGCTAGGAAGCCTGTCACAGCTGCAGGGGGCCAGGGAAGCAAACGTGCTATGTGTGGTGCTGAACATCCCCTCAGGTGCCCAGCCCAGGACCTGAGGCGGACCAGGGAGGAAGGAAGTAGCCTTTGGCCCCTGAATGTCACAGGCATCCTGTGGAGAGAAAAAGTGCTCAAGGAAGTGCTGTGTCAGTGATTCTGGAAGGCACAGTGTCTGGAGACAGCGCCAACCCCCGAGGGACCTTGAGCAGCTGTATTTATTGTGGGCGAGGGCAAGAGTTCTAGGAGGGAGAAATGAAAGACTAGACAGGGACCCTAGTTCCCTAGTTCTGGTAGACAGCAAGCTTCCCTGGAAGGCTCACGTGGTCCCTAAGGCAGCAGTATGTATCCTGCGACTTACAATGGCAAAAAGAGAGATGGGGCCTAGGGTGAAGTTCTACCCCCCTCCCCCCACCACATGGGTCACAGAACATGCTGATAAAAGGGAAAATGCAAAAAGCAGCAGAACTAGGGCATCCCATGGATCCTTATCTGTAATGGTTATTCTGTCAACTTGATTGACTGGAGCAATGTCCACAAGACTAGTTCAGCCCACTTTGGATGCATCTGTGTGGGTCAGGAAGGCATGACCTTGGGGACTACAACCAGTCCCTTGCCCTTTCCTCGTCTTTCTGTCCAGCCTTCTCTGCTTCCCAGCTGCCATGAGTTGAACCGCTTTGCTCCATCATCCCATTTCTCCATGGTGTTTCTATCTTGGATCCTTCTGACCATAGACTGGACCCTCAGAAACCATGAGCCAAATAAACCTCTCCTCCAGCTTGCAGGTGTCAGATACTTTCCCTCTGTACCGGGAGAGCTGACTGATACAATGTTCAAGGCTTGGTGGCTTCTCGCCTTTCCCACAAACAAAGCAACATTAGCTTCTCTGCAGTGGTACAGTCACTGATGAGTGCATCTGGAGTGGATTAAACCTTAGGGTTTTCTGAGGGGAGCAATTGGTGGAGAATGAAGCACTGTATACATCATGTACAGACTTGTGCATCCTGCAGGTGGCAGGAAGTTGTCCTGAAGACAGTGAGCTCTGGGCTGGCTGTGGTAGACTTGGCCCCACCTGCAAAGGGCTCCCTAGATAACCAATAGGAGGACTCCAGGCCGAGATACACCTGGAGGACTAAGGCTATGTTGTAGGAGAGGGTTTCCTTTCTTCCGTAGGAGAAGCTATATGGGGCTAAATAAGTGTGGGAATTAAAATGCTCGTGCTCTAGTCTTTTTTGCTAAACTCTCTTGTTAGTGACTAAAGAATCCATTTTTTTTTTAATCACTGCCCATCAACTCCCAGGAAGTGACAATCTTCCTTCAGCAAGAGAACATCTGCTTGGACGCCGCTATTCAAGAGCTCCCAGTCAGAACGAGGCTCTTTCTGCTCATTATTCTCAGGAAGGAGAAAATGAAAACAAAACCAAGAAACCAAGCTGGCTCTGAGAGTGCCTCTTCCCAGTCTCCCCAGGCGCTGCCTTGGCACCGAGCCAGCTGTGCCCTGAAACCCCGTGTAGATTTGGGTATCTGGCTGAAGGATGTGCTGGCCCCTGCCCCAGCTGCAACTCCAGCCCACCCCAGCACCAGCTTTTCATCCGAGAGACCCTTGCTTCTGCACAATGACACACCCATGCCCGTCAGTGCCAAGATCATCTTTATTATTTTATTCTTTGTTTGCTTTCCATGGCAAGTGAAAAAATAATTTAAACCAACTCTATGTACAGAGGCTTGGTTAGTTTTCCCAAGAGCTTCCAGAAAGACTTCGGGCCCTTAGATAGCAAAGAAAGGTTGCCTTTAACATCTATACAAAACTTCACCTATAAAAGTCTCACATGTAGAAAGCGTTTATTATAAGCATCACATTTTGGGAATAGGGTTGTAGAGGGCTGAGTGGGAGGTGGAGAAACCTGTGTGGGGCAAGGGGACGGGGGCGCTATGGCTGCCAGTGTTCAGGTGATCTGCAGTGGGGTCTCCAACATCTCCATGAGGAAGGTGTCAATGGGGGTGTCCCCGATGAGCTTGAAGAAGAAAAGGTGCTCCAAGCATTTCAAGCCGATGGAGCGCAGAGCGGGAAGGCGCAGCAGCAGCTTGGCGAACCTGCAAGGGGCAGAAGGCACAGGTTACCAGGGAAGGAGCCCAGAGCTCAAAGATGACAGGCAGGCCTCGCCGGACGCACCTGCCGTGGAGGTGGCTGCCGGCCCTCAAGAAGAGAGCCGGGGAGGGGAGAGTAGGTGAAGGTCCTGGAAAGTCTCTAATCCCAGGGAGCTTCAGAAATAGGCTAGAGAGTCGGCCTTAAATACATAAGCAGGGTTCTATGACCTCCTACGGACTTTCGTGGCATGTCCTAACGCTGTCCCCAGACACCACTACTCGTAGAGGACAAGGAAGAACTAGACCACGTTACCAACTGTGCCCTCAAAGGCGCAGATACGGGACTGATCCTGCCTCCCTCGCGAGGGTATTACCAGCCAGGAGATTTGAGGCCTTTGAAGATCCCTGCTGCGTGTGCAAAAGGGTGCGTGTGTGTGAGCCCTCCTGAGCTTGTATTTCTGCTCCCTGACCCTGAAAGGACTTGTTCACTGCGATGTGCATTTCCAAGGAGCGTCCACGGAGTGGCAGCACGCCATCGAGAAAAGCGATTGGCCCAGCGGTACTGCCTCCTGCTCCCTAACCTCTCCTGACCTGACCGGCTCTGCGTCCACCCAGGCCGTGAGGTCAGCGCCTCTCCCGGGGGGCTGGAGGAAGCCACAGTCCATTGCAGGCCTCTTCCAGAAAGAATCAAGTTCCAAAGTTTTTAAAATGATACTCTTAGAAAAAAAATCCTAAGTATCAACAGTAGGGCAGTGACTAAGCATAAAAATACATCCAACACTGCAAAATATGATAGAGCTATTTAAAATTATAATTTTGTGCTTTTTAATAATTGGATAAAAAAAATAATTGGATAAAACTGCAAGAATGGCTAACAGAAGAAAAACAATGCACCGGATTTCACAAGTTCCTATCTGTAAATATAGTTCTATGACTATATATACACCAATACCCAAGAACACTGAAACAAATACAGCAAAATATTTGCAACCAAGTGTTATGACCCGATCTTTGTTTTCCTCTTTCTTTCCAGCATTGGGCTGGACCACATGACTAAGACTCAGCCGAGGGAGGTCAGCGATTGGGCGAGGGAGCTCTCGGGTCTGTGTCTCAGCCATGTACCCTCCCCTGGGCCCCTCCACTGTCCCCATCAGACACCTGGGTGCAGAGCTCAGTGGAGCAGTGAGAAGGAAAGAGCAAGAGACCTTGAATGACCACGTGGAAGACAACTCACCTCTGGACTTTCTGCCTGCTCACACTGAAGGGGGGGGGGCAGAAGCTGTTGTGTTTCATGGTCGAATTTCGGGAAGCCTCTTATTAGGGTGCACACCCCGACTAATGCAGCAGCCTGCTGATTGTGGCACCAAAGGTGGAGCCCACCCTGAAGCTTCCTCCCAGCCTCTCACCAAAACTGCAGCCCAGCCTGTCCTGGACAGTGGGTAGATGCCGTCTTATGACCCCACTCAGTGGCTGAATGGAAACTAGACTTTACAGAAGAATAAAGGTCATTAGTGATAAGAGTGGGAATATAAATTGAATCCTAAAAATAAAACTAATGTGTCTTTAGGGCAGCCTTTTCAGTTCCATTTTCAATTATCTGTAAGATCTGAGGTCTATGTTTTCTTATTTTAGCTAGAGCTTGTGGTAGATGCTCCTGGTTAGTTGTACCTGTGGGAAAAGTTAGAGGATGCTTTTGGTGGCTGGGAATAACTGTATACTATTAGGTGGCTCAAGAGGCCAATTCACAGACCTCTGTGGCCCCCTTCAGGCCCGGGCTTCAAACTCTGTCCTTTCTACTGCATGGGGCTTTCTGTGGGGCACAGCAGACAGTAGCGCAGTCACCCCAGATGCAGGCTATTTGAAACCAGGCTGGATCCCCCGTAACCTCCAACACAGAGCAGCTCTACTGTCTCAAGCAAGGGACTGTGCCTTTCTGAGTCTCCGCTGCCTACCAGAGAGGAGAATGTGACTCTCTCAGTGATCCTTTCATTTGCTTGTTAAGCCAACATTTAAAGATCTGCAAGTAGACACCCTTATCTTCAATATCCTTGGGCCTGCTGAAACCAAGGATTGTGCCAAACCCTAGATATACTTTTTCAGATAGATAGATAGATAGATAGATAGATAGATAGATAGATAGACAGATAGATAGATATAAAATCTATAATATAGTTTAATGTATGAATTAGGCAAATGTAAAATTAGTAAGATAACAAAATAAAACCATTATAGCATTTCTAAAGCCATCCAGTGTTTAGTGTTGTTTTTATTAGCTGTTTGGTTTTTACTGGGGTTTTTTAAATTACAACATTATATTGCAATAAAAGTTCTATAAAATTTATGAGTTGTAAAAAAAATCATGAGTTGTTTATTTCTGGAAATTTCCACTATTTTCAAACCGAGATTGACCAATGGCGCTAAAAAGCCGAAAGTGTGGTTGCATCTGGCGGACCGCTGTGGTGTTTGTGGATGGGCCTTTGGGTGCAGGTATGAGCTGAGTGGGCACCGAGCAGGTGGGACCACACCTGGCGCCTCATGGAGCTAATGCACACGGCTCTTTATGAAGAACTAAGTAACATCTGGAAAGATCGCTGCATCCAACCTGAAGCCCGTGGGCTCCTTGCCTCTCCCCCTTTTTCTTGATCATGGTATCTCCCCTGCCAGGTAAGTATCCCCCTTTTTCTTAATGATAGTATTTCAAAACAAAGGAAGTTGTGTTACTGTGTTACTTCTAACAGTAATGCTGTTATGTACCTTTGATGAGGCCCAAGACAATTGCTTCTCATTCTGTGTGGCCAAGATGCCAGCGGGGCACTGCCAAGTTGAGAGGGAAGGTCAGTTGCAGTTGGTAACACTGTACCCAAGTACCACTCACCTGCCCGGCTGTTCAGGATACTTCTGCTTGGTGTAGGCCTCCAGGGTGGCGTAAACCTTCTCTCTCAGGGTCTCTACCTCTGAGGGATTGGACAGACCCTTGGCATCTGAAAAAGATGTGGATTTGGTCTCTGGTTAGCATCTCAGTGGGACATCCTCCCCAGGAGGCTCTCCCCATCATGCAGGCACTGCCCCTCGGCTCAGGAAAGGCTCCCAGGCAGGAGCAACTGTCCTCTGCGTCTGCCTGCTGTTCTACCTGTGCCTCATCTTCCCAATAAACTCTTGGTGCAAAGGTATTAAACACTCTTACTAGCCAGATGTTTTCCCCACTCTCTCCAAGGAGGAGAGCTCTGTCTTCTCCAGGCCATTCTAGAAATATCTTCACATATTTATTGAGCACCTCCTATGTGCTAAGCAGGGCCTGGGGGAGGAGCTGGGCACAAAAACCAAATTGGCCTATGCTGGGCATCAAGGAGCCAGCCACCCCACCTCCGGACCTGACACTTCTGCTTGGATGAGTGCATAACTCTGAAGACCCATTTTTGTGGGCCTGCAGCAGTATTTCATGAAGCTGCTCACTTCTACTTCCTTGAAATACTCTTGGGTGTCTGCTACATATCTCTGAACTCAATGTCCACAGCCATATCTTGATTATTGCCCACCCACCCTCAGAACTTGCTCCCCTTGGAGTTTTTCTCCAAGCTCTGAAAATAAGAATTACATTTTTCCTATTGTTCAGTAAAACAAAACAAAACAAGAAACTCAAGTTACATTTTATACATTTTGTTTTCATATCCTATATGTCTCATCCATGGGCAGATTTCAGGGGCGCTACCACCTCCTTCTCCACCCCCATGCTCCTTCCCCCCCTACCCGCTGCCCTTCACATGCCCACTGCCACCACTCTAGACACATGTCGGGATGGCTCTGGATAGAGGCCATGGATATTGGACTCTGTGCTCTCTTGCTGTGTCCACCCCACAGTTACCTGGGTTAAACAGCACAATGGCACGCAGGCACCCCAGCTCTGACTTGTCCATCTGCATGTCTTTCATTTTAGAAACCAGCTCAGTCAGGACTCTGCAGGAAAGGCAGACAGGAAAATATGTGCACCCGGCCTCAGACAAAGTGAGTCCTGCCTATATCTGTTGTGGACTGGCCCATTTTCCTGCAGCAGATGCTCCGGGGGTTAGGAGTCCAGAGATGAGGAAGATGCAATCCCTCTCTCAAGGAGATGGTGGCTTAATCCAAGAAACAGACACAGAAGCAACAAGCAGCAATGCAAAGCCTGTGAGAGAACTGTGGTGGACAAAACTCAAGGGCGGACCAAAGAAGAAGTGGTGAACTCAGAGCAGCAGCCTGGGAAGGCATCGTGGGGCACTTGGAAATTAGAAGTGCAACAAGCACAGCAAGGCCAGGGTGCTGTCCAGAAGAGCAGAGGCCCCTGGGGTAAGCAGTTCAGGGACAGGACCCTCTAGACACACACTGACCCCCACAGGGAACATGTAGGAAAGCGTGAGGTGGGGTAAAGTAGAAACATCCTGGATGGACGTGTGTGAGCCGAGAAGAACATTTATAATGAAAATAGAAACAGACCCTGGAGTTCCGGCACTGGATGGAGAAGCCATTTTCAGCTTTTTGCTCCTGTACTAATTCTTCAGCCTCGTGCCCCCAATCTTTAGTCTATTCATTTGCCTCAAGCACCATGAAGTACTGAATTCCTGTCAGGCTGTCGCTGTTTGGACAAGATTGGTCTGCTCCTGCTATAGGCCTTCCCTGGGGATTCTACAGAGTCCAACATGAGCCTTGGTCCTTCTTGCCTGGTTTAAGAAAGAACCCCATCCGCAGGCCCTGGATAAGCAGTTCGCCCTCCCTACATGGTTTACTAGTCCTCTTGAAACCCACAGGAAGAGCAGCTTCTTCTGTCTGCCCAGAAGCTCAGCTGGGCTCTAATCAGCTGTACTGTAACATAATCCCAACCTTTCTTTAACTCAGTTTTTCCTTCCCTAGGTTCATATTTTCACGTGTTAATGGTTTCTATGTGGTCATGTGCATATGTTTGGGCTGCTTGTCCTACATCTTGGCACTACCCAGAAGGCACATGCACAGGTAAATGCATGTACACACACCTATGTGTATAATCATGGACACACACACACACTCAGGCACACACACATGCACACACACATGTGCACACACACCCAGGAAGTACCTGTCAAAGATGGAGCCCACACCAGCACTGTGGGCGCTGCTCCGGTGCACATGCAGCCCTGTGGCCAGAAGGATGCCATCCTGCACGGAAACGGATCGGTGGGAGAAAGAGGCGATCAGCAGCTCGTTCCACCCTGTGAGAACAAAGAAAAGACACTGGGGGAAGGCTGACTGCATTCTTGCTTCCCTGAGAAGCATCCCGTGCACGCATCATTAGCCTGCAGACCGAAGCAGAACTGGAGCTCTAGGGAGGTGAAGGCCCCTAGACGGCTGCGAGGCAGGGTTTTTTTTTTTTTTTTATTTAAACCACTCAACAAATGTGAACTGAAGCTTTACCAGATAATAGTCACTGTGAGCTGCTGTGGTGGTTGAGGTGAGCCGACCTCTCAGCCTCCGCCCCAGGGCCCTCCCTACAAGCTCATCTACTTCCTCGGTGTTATCTGGCAACACCCAGTGCACTCTGTAGCTTTCTGTGCACAGCCAATGATGGCTCATTGTCCACCATGGATAAAGGAGTAGATTGGCTCCCAAAGCTGGACCAGTCTCCACGAGAGTTCCCTAGTGGCCCTGTGACAAGAGCAGATATGGCAGATGTCAACAGAGTGCCCTATACTTCAAAAACCAGAGGCAGAGGAAACACAGAGCCTAGCATCTATTTGTGTGTGTGTGTGTGTGTGTGTGTGTGTGTGTGTGTGTGTGTGTGTGTATTTTAGGGAAGGGTCTACAGGGTTCTCAGAGTCTCAGTACTAGATTGGACTCATAGTGATCCGCTTGTCTACAAGCCTCCTGATATCTGGGATTACAGTTATGCGCCACCATGCCCAGTCTCAATTGCCATCTCAGCGCACCCTGGGGTTGGGGCCAGCACGGTAGGCCCAGGGATTGAACTTCTGGCCCCTGTGTCTGCTTGCAGGCACTTTAATCCGCTGAGCTATTTGGCCAGCCCTGAGCCTGGAATCTTAACCCGAGAAAGAGCTTTAAACCTTCTAGTGTTGGCTTTCTTATCTCACCTGCAAAATGGAAATATCTGCATTTGCCAGTTTCACTAGACTAATGAAGCACTGCTTCCAATTATCTTTAATAAAATTGATTTAAGACTCCTTGAAAATTAAATACTGACTTAAAACCACCACAGTATTTGCATGGGCAAAGAGTCCTCCTCCATGAACAATGTTTCATTTAGGAATGAAGGGTTTTTAGGAAGCCTATCTAAATTTACAAGTCTACAAATAGACTGGGGATGGTGACACAGGCCTGTAATCGTAGCTACTTAGGAGGCGGAAGCAAGAGGATCACAAGTTCCAGCCCAGCCTTGTCAATTCAGTGAGACCTGGTCTCAAAAATAAAAAAAAATTTAAGTAGGGTTGTTTGGGGACACAACTCAGTGACAAGGCCCTGATTCAAATCCCAGAAATAAAAAATAAAAAACCAAGGGCCAGTAGGATAGCTCAGCAGACTAAGTCCCTGCTTAGGCAAGTGCAGGGGCCAGGGTTTGATCCCTGGCACCACTTATCTCGCTGGCCCTGCCCCTAGATGCGCTGAGTCAGCAACTGAGTCTGGGAGTGGTGGTGCACGCCTGTAATCCCAGTACTGGGCAGTCTGAAAACAGGAGGATCACTACAAGTCTGAGCTGCTTAGTGAGACCCTGCACGAAATAAAAATAAAAATAAAAAAGCACCTGTGTGTCTACATGTCGCACAGCCTGGACCAGTGGCAGCTCCATCCAGTTACTTATTTTCTGATCCCAAGAAGAGTTTCAGAAGGACAGCCACAGGGATGGTCCCAAGAAAAAAGAAATCTCAGTATGTTTTACCTGCCCGGAGCAGAATGACCTGGTCCTCCAAGGTGAGATCTGAGAAGTGGGGAATGCGCTTGGCCCATTCAACAAGGGTAAAGAGCTGCTTGTCGGCAGCATGGCATATGTTGGTAACAGGGTCATTGGTCTGAAAAATGAACAAAGGCTGTTGAGAGACAGGTCCTGGCACTCTATGATACCTCCCTCCATCTCCAGACCCACCAGAGAAGTGACAACAGATGCAGATAAAAGCCCACGTACCGAATTCTCCATGCTCACATCTCCGTAGGATTCTGTCTTTGGTTCAACAGCGAGTTCCGCTTCTAGAATCCTCTCCACTGGCATGTCTTCATGACCACTACTGGCACCTTTGGCCTCACTCTCGGCTCGTTCCCGGCTCCTCTGCCTTTCTTCTTGCACAGCTGACATGCAGCAGGCAGGCAGAGGTTAGCATCGTGCCCAGGACACGTGCAGGAGAGTTAGTTACCTTCCTAAGCCTTGGTTTCCTTGTGTGCAAACAGGGGGATCACCATAGTACTGAACCAGGGAGACTCGTGTTGACCAAAGGATCGAGGAAAGCAACGCTGTATGCTTATGCCTGCCCAGAACTAGGGCTCTTCAGTCCCTTGCTCTTTCCAGCACTCTGCCTTCTCTCTGAGGGAGCCACCTGCTTCTTGCTCTTATCAAGTCTCCTGCCCCTTTCCTCTACCTATGGCCCAGCTAGAGTGTGAGGAAGCAACAGTTAAGTTGCAAATGTGCTGCTTTCCAAAATCCCTATAGGTTCCTGCACATCATCCCTGGCATCCACTTGTGCAACAGCCTGAACACAGTGTCGCCTGATCTGACTTGTCAGGGATGATCTTGAGGGAGCTGCCACTGGGATTAAGTAAGTGAAGGGGTAGAGGGATGTCACCTCCTCAATGACATCTCAGAATCAGTCGCTGAGTTAAAAGGTGGGGGAGGGCACACAGGCAAAGGTGTAGGCTGGGAAAGCCTCTGTGCTCCCCTGGCTTGGGTCTTTGTCAAGGTTTGAGTCAGCCCTCTGATCCCACTGGGTCTGCGCAGCAGGGATGGAAGGAGGACCTGCCCCCCACATTGCTAGTCCTGTCCCCCTTCAGCCAGAGAATCATCTCTGCTGGCTTAGCAACCATCTTCTAGATTAGGTTGTAATTTCTATATTATTCCCAGCAGCAAGAAGCAGAATTCAAGACTAGAAGACAGTTTTCCATCCCAAGAATCGAGCAGGTTCTGCTGGAACAGGTAACTAATCTGACCCTCAGGGACAACTCCTCTGATAGCAGCTTCTTACTGTCTGCAGCTCTCCCTTCCTACCTGCACTCCAGCCATAGTGGTGCCTCCTGCTCTCTGAGGCAATAACAAGCCATGGCAGACAGGAATGAGCTGAAACCAGGCTGCTCAACCTGGAGGTTGTTATGTTAGTATGACACGAATCCCTCGAGGTTGGCCAGGGAGGGATACAATTGGAAAACGCCTCTAGGCTCCAAAGCCTGGAGGAGACATGCAAGGCCTTCAGCAGACAGCCATACACTGTGATCAGGAGGAATGGAAGGAGGCAGGAGGAAGGAGAAATGCAGAAAGGAAAGATGGAAGAACACAGGGGTTGAAAGAAGAGGGGAATTGAAGCCAGAGAGCACAGAGGGAAAATTGCAGAAGAACAAAACACTATGTACCTTGGAATCAGAAAAATCTTTTTCTAAAGTATAGTTTTACCATTTGCTTGCTTGCTAACTTTGGATATATTGGTAGGCCTCGTAAGCCTCAGTTTCCCTAACTGTCAAGCAGGGAGGATACACAGTTTTGTGAGGATTAGTGTGACAATTGCAGCAAGTTCAAAAAGATGTTTATTCCCCCTTTGTCTCTTTTTACTCCATCTCACCCCTGGGCTGGTCTCTGGTTCTCTCCATCTCCTCTACCCTCTTCTCTTCTCATCCCTTTCTTTCTCTTTCTCTCTGTCTCTTTCTCCTTCCTTTCTGGTCACTGTCAGTGTTTACTCAATAACAACCAATTGGAATTCTAGCATGTTTGCTCATAGTTGGATTTACTGGCTAAAGTTGGAAACTTCATGTATTCATTTTTTTTTGGGGGGGGGGGAGGACCAGGGATTGAACTCAGACCCTTGCGCTTGCCAGGGAAGTGCTTATTCTACTGAGCCATCTCCCTGGCCCCTTCATTTTTTTAAAGAGGTAAATTAATAGGTTTCTGTTAGTATTTATTTTTTAAAAATACAGGAAGCAAACTAAATGAACTTCCTTTTGGTCCTTGATCAGTTACTTCCACAGACTTATTACACTCAAGGTAAATCACCTTTAAGATTCAAAGAAAAGGGCTGTGGAGATAGCTTACCAGTCTAGGCACCTGGCTGGCAAATGCAAGAACCCAGGTTTGATCCCCAGTATTGTATGCTGTGTCAGCCCCAAAACCCCAGGTATACTGTGTGGCCACCAAAATCAGGTGTGGTGGTACATTCCTATAATCCCAGCACTAGGGAGGCTGAGATAGGAGGATCACTATGAGTCTGAGCTGTGTAGTGAGACCCTGTACCAAATACATAAATAAAATAAAGATTCAAAGAAATAACCTTGCTCTCAGGTAATTAGGTTCTGATTCTAACTTTAGCTGAGCGACAACTTGCTACTCAGTTTTGTGTGTTGGAGTATAAATCTTACTGTCATAATAGCGCAGTCCACCAGCTCCTGGGGGCAGACATTCTGAGCTGTGGCTACCACACGCACAGGGCACTTCCCGGACACCAGGCGGTTTAGGCACTCACAGCACCCACTCCTGCCTTCAACAGAATTTTATCCATGTATTTAGCATGTGCTTATTGTGCACTTGTAAGTATTACAATAGCCAACACTTATGGAGCTCTCTCTCTCTCTCTGTCAGAAATTGTGCTCAATACTTTGTATGGCTTACTTTTCATTTGATCCTCACAATTCCTCTTTGGGGTACCATGACCCATAGAGAAGCTAGGTAGCCATCCACATTGAGACCTAGAAAATAGCAGAGCTGCTCCGCAGATCCTACCCGGTGACGGCGACCTCCCATGTCCATCTCTAAACCTCTGAACTGCCTCCTGGGCACTGGGCTGGCTGCATTCGTAAAAACCACCCAGAGCACATGACCAGGAGAGGGATGTCTACAAATGGCCTCAAAGACATGCCATCCTCAGAATACTATTCAGTCATAAAGAACAGCAAGATTATATTGCAGGAAAGTAGATAGAACTGGAAATCGATATGTTAAGTGAAAAAAGTCAAACCCAAGCAGAAAAGTGTTGCATGTTCTCCCCAACACTCCATGAAAGTAGAAGGGAGACCTAGGAAAAGAGGAGTGCATTGGGGGGTCAAGGGAGTGTGACCAAAATACGTTATACTCATGTAAGACAGCACCACACTGAAACCCAAAACTCTGTAAAACTTAATATGCACTAACTTAAAAAATAAAAAAACAAAACAACAACAAAAAAAAAACCCAGCAGAGGATGTAGCTCATCGGCACAGCACCTGCCCAGCAAGTGCGAGGTTGTGAGTTTGATTCCCTGTAGAAAGAAAAAGCCCATTCTCTACTTATATATGACCACAAGTCATGGAAATTCTGAGACCACCCCAATTCCACCTCTTTCTGCCTGGGCAAATCCCATGGCATCTCTAGGTTATATATTCCAGAATTTTATTTTTTCTATGCACAAGGTATCCAAATTGAGCTCCACATTCTGTAAATCAAGAACAGAAATGATGGGATGAAGGAAAGTCTGTCCCATAGTCTTTTTTTTTTTTTAAACAAATCAATCCACTTTTTTTTCATTATTTATTTATTTATTTATTTTGTGTGTGTGTGTGGCCACTTCAGCCCACCAGGGGGCGGGGCTGGCTGGCATGTGGTGCTGGGGATTGAACTGCGGTCCCTGTGCTTTGTTTAGCTTGTTCTAAGTAGGTGCTTTAGACCACTGAGCCATCTCACCAGCCTTGTCCCACAGTCTTTTAAAAGTGGTTGTCCATGGACTAAGGTGAAAAGCTCTCTGTCCAGATCTGTGGCACTGACTCCTGCAGAGCATTTTTGAAAAGTTTCTCCCCTTCTCATATTTCTACTACTCAATTTTTCATTACCTCTGTTTTCCACATTGCCTTAAAACACAGGAACAAAATTTAGACCAAATTTCCTATTAAAGTGTCAGAACACTAACAGGTTTGCATGCCCGCTCTCAACAATTCACATCTCCCTGTTTC